TATTATCATTATTATTATCATTTATATAATGCTAATAAAAATAATGATAATAATAGTAATAATAATAATAATAATGATAATAATAATCATTATTATTACCATTATTATTATTATCATCATTATTATTACTACTACTACTATTACTATTTTTATCATCACTATCATTGTTATTATTATTATTGTTATCATTGTTATTATTGTTACTATCTTTCTTAGTATTTTTATCGTTATTATTAACTTTATCATTATGAATATAATCTTTTATTATCAGTAGTATTATAATCACTATCATCATTGTTATTATTATCATTATTACGAATCCTTTTATTTTCATTAATGTTACAATTATTATTATCACTATTACCATTATTATTATTGCTGTTGTTGTTGTTACTGTTATCATTATAGCCACCATTATTATTAAAAGTACTATTGCTATTATTGTTATCATTATCATCATTATCTTTATTACTATCTTAATCATTATCATCATTATTAACGTTATCATTATCAATACCATTCTTATTATCAATATCGTTATCATATTTTTTTGCGAATTATAAATCATATTATTATTCTTATTACCTCATTTATTATCATTATTATTATTATAATTTTTGTTATTATTATTATTACCATTGCTATTATTATTATTATTATTATTATTATTATTATTATTATTATTATTATTATTATTATTATTATTATTATTATTATATATTATTATTATCATTATTATTATTATTATTAATATTATCATTATTATCATTACTACTATTATTATTATTATTATCATTATTATTATTATCATTACTATTATTATTATTATGATTAGTATTATCATTATTATCATTATTATTATTATTATTATTATTATTGTTGTAATTATTATTATTATTATTATTATCATTATTATCATCATCATTATTATTATTATTATTATTATTATTATTATTATCATTATTATTATTATTACTATTATTATTATTATTATCATCATTATTATCATTACTATTATCATTATTATTGTTATTATCATTATCATCACAAATTATAGTATTATCCTTATTGCTAATATTATCATTACAGTTGTTACAGTCATTAACCATCATCATTATCATTACTATTGAAATAACATCATCATTACCATTACCATTGTTATTATTACTTTTATTACTATCTTTATTATTATTACTATTAGCATAATTATTATTATCACTACTATTATTATTATAGTAACAATATAACAATAATCATCATTATCATTATTATATATAATCATAATTATTATTACCAAGATCATCATCATCAGTGTTATCATTACTATCATAATCATTATCTTTATTATCATTATCTTATTACCTCCACCAAGGAGCTTATGTTTTTGGTAGTGTTGGTTAGATAATTAGTTGATTAGCAGAATACCTCAAGAAGTTATGAATAGATTTTTACTACAGGTGTGCCTTAGCTTTACTTAAATGTCATTAAATTTTGGTCGTGATACGGATTCATGGCAATTTTTCTTAAATAATTGCACCAGGGGTAACTATTATTATTATCATCATTATCTTTATTACTTCCGCTAATGGGGTTATGTTTACGGACGTCACGAGTGTGCTTGAGAAAGAACTGAATTTAATGTAATTCTTCGGGTGTGAATATTTATGCTGTATCATTGACCCTATTGTCTTTCTGGAGGTGTGCGCTCTCAGAGTGCTTCTAGTTGTCATTATCATTATTACTATTTTCTTATCATCATTATCATTATCGCCATCGTCATTATTATTTAAAATCTAATTGTTATCATTATCATCATAATCTCTTCAATTAAAATAATAATCATAACAATAATAGGAATGATAATAATAATAATCATTATTATCATCACCACTATCATTCTTCTTATCACTATTATCTTATTATATTATAATTTCTTCAATTAAGATAATAATCATAATAATACTAAGAAGAATGATAATAATAATAATCATTATCATCATCACCACTATCATTCTTCTTATCACTATTATCATTATTATTATCTTAATTATCATAATTACCATTATCATCTTTATCATTAATATATTAATTTTCATTATTGTCATTATCGTACCATAATTATCATTATTGTTATCATTATCATTCTATCATTATCAGTATTTTCATCGTTATCATTTTCAGTATTATTGTTATTACTTAATATTATCATTATCAACATTGTTATTATTAATATTATCATTATTATTATTATTATCATTTCTATTCTTAATATCTTTATCATTATTGCTGTTATAAATATTAATGATAATAGCAATGATAAAAAAATGATAATTATAATAATAACAAGAACAACAACAGCAACAACAACAACAACAACAACAACAACAACAACAATAATAATAATAATAATAATAATAATAAATTATTATCATTACTATTATCATCATTATTGTTATGATTATCATTATTTTTATTATCCTTATTCATAGTATTATCATAA